CTATGTTACTTATGTCCAAAAATGTTCTATCTCTTCTGTCTTTACTTAATGGAATCGTTCATTTGAATATTTCAGAAAATAACGACGCAGAAGGAGCAGCGAGAGAATCCTGCGAAGCTGATATCCCGAGCAGCCTGAGAGGAGGAGGAGGCCTAGGATAGGCATCGGGCATCGGCGTATCAACACTTCTGGTAATTGTTACTTTTTATTTTTTTTTAAAGATATTATAGAATCTCTCTTTTCGTTTGTGCTTATTCAGTTGCTACATTAAACCGTGTTTTAAAATATAAATTAGTAAAAAGAAATAATTTGAAAAATTTGATTCAAGTTGATTCTAACGTAGAGACCTTTTTGCGAAGAAGTAATTTGAATGTGAATTAATCTGAATAACGAATAAAATGTTCAATGCGCGTGACAATTATTTAATCGATTCGATAATTTTTATGTTACAGAAAATATCAACGCGCGAAGAAGCATCAGCTTCGCATCGAGGGAGCTGATAATCCGAGAGGATAGCCTGAGAGGAGGAGCAGGCCTGGGAGAGGTATCGGGCACGAGCGGAACAACTTTGCGGTAAATATTATTTATTTGTGTAAAAGCAACTTTTTTCTTGTTTATTCTTGATTCGCTTTATTTCACAATAATTTAGAAATAATAATTAGAAGAAAGGAAGTAATTTAATATTGTAGAAATTTATCCTTGTAAAGATCCTTTTCATAAAATGTTTCATTATTTAAATTATTATTTAATTGAATAATAAAAAGTTCGATGCACATAGGAATTATGTTTCAAAACATTAGGTTTTTTGAACACCATTTTAATATGAATTTTATGTTCGTATATTACAGATACAACGTAGCTACGTGGCAGATGTAATTCCGCTGTTGCGCATCGGGGTCGGTGAGTGATAAATTAATATGTCTGTTGAGGTAATTGATAACTGGATTTTACCAGTTGAAATAATAATATGACGTAAGATCCCATATATATTTATTGCTATAAAATAGAAGATTTTTTTCTAGTTAATTATCTAAGTAATTATTTTAGAATCGAACAGTTTTACATCATTTTAAAATAATTTTAAAATAACATATTATACAAAAAATAATTTTAATAATTAGCACAGTACAACGAGATATTTTTATCAATTCTAATTGTGTGAAAAATTTATTATCCTTTCCGGATCTTGCGTCATTCATCTGAATTTTTCATCTACATGCTCTTGAGATGAGATGTAGTAACAAATCGTTCGAATCGATGAATACACGTATATGGGCCTTAGATTCTATCGAATGGCGCGTCTAGCATTTTTCGCTTATTTAGTTTTAAATTAAAGTTTATTCATATTATAAAGTTAGTATTTAAAATAATATAAAGTTTAATATAAAGTTCATAGTCATAATCGAATCTCTTCGAATTAAAACTGTCGACATAAAGATTTTTTTTAAATTCAAATTTGTTTTTTATTGGATATATATTTTAATGATTGAATATTATATCTTAATTGCTACGAATAAACGCGCGCAAAGACTAAATGTTAAATTAATTCATGTTTTAAAGAAATTATTATTGTTATTGTTTATTTTTAATTTTGTACTTAATTGATTTAATTAATATAATGGGCCCTTTGCGACGTGTTCGTGTTTCGCGGATTATACAAAAGCGTAAATTCTTACGCTTATTGCCGGCGATGATTAGCCGGCAGCAGGAGTATTTCTTCTTGTTATCGATCTCTGGCTATACGAGGCATGATACGGCCAGGTATTACAAAAGGTGAGTCCACTCTGGCCGGAAGAAAGAAGACGAAGAGGATTAAGGTAGGTTGGTGTACCACACCAATCAAAGTACAAATAATAGTACAGATAATGGTAAGCCTATATAAGGTTATTTTGTATATGTGCGATTGCACGTAATCAGAGACGGAAAGGTACCGTCTCGAATCTCTATTTTGCGCAAATTAAACTAAACTAAACGTAAATTAAACTCTCAATAAAACTCCTAAACGGTTCTAATTTACAACTAAATTTGCGTGTGCTTTTTTGATTTCGCGTAACCGCGATCGTAACTATAGGTATACCAGATAAAAACACGGGTAGGTAGGAATATTATGCGTAAATAGGTAGGAATATGGGTAAAAAATATATAAAAAATCGGGTAGGTAGGGATACGGGTAAAAACTAAATAAAAATCGGATAGGTAGGGATACGAATAGGTAGGGATGAGGGAGGAGTAATTCAATAATGAAAAAAATTAATGTGCTTTATAATTTTAAGAAATTTAAAGGGTATAGGGGAATAAACATGGTAAAATTGCCCCGGGCGAATATTTAATTGCCACTTCGAGGATATGTAGGTATTGATAAAAGACAATGACCCTCAAAAAATCAGATGTCTAACTCAACGGTTTTCGAGTAAATAAAAAAATACTTAAAATTAAAAAATATTTTTTTCTTGAGAACGGCTTGATCGATTTTGATATTTTAATATGTTATAGGGACATATAAAGGCTTTCTTGAGACAGAGTAACAACCATATAGAGTTTCATTATGCAGTAAAAGATATTGTTTTTTCCCAAAAATCATTTTTTTAAGCATGATTTGAGCAAAATTATAAAATTATTTTTTTTATAAGCTTTGTACTCTCTTATATAAAATATATTTTTTTCGATTGATTCGTAATGGTGCGCCGTACTGAAAAAAAATAAATAAAAACTATTTTATACTATAAATTTTTCGGATTTTGATATTTATTGGTCGGTATTTTATAATAACAATCTATATATTATAGATTTGTACAAAAAAATTCAAATTATTTTACTAAAATTGGTAGAATAATTTTTAGATCAATTTATTAATTTTTATTATTTAAAAAAACAAACAACGACGGTATTTTTATAATTAATTATTTATTAATTAATTAATCTACATGGTTATTAAAATATCATCAGAAACTTTGCATTTGTCTCTATCAATATCAACAAAAATAATTACATGTCGATAAAATTAAAAATAACATAATAAAGCATATATTGCAATTGCATATTGATTTTCAGTCTTTATCACTGTCTTCTTCGATCACTGTACTGGTTTGATTGTGATAGGAGAATGAAGGAAGGGAAGAAGAAGAAATGGCCATGTAAAAAGAAAAAACAAAAAATTAAGATGAAAAAAGTATTAAAGATGGAAATTTCAGTGAAGAACTTACGAAAAATTTCCCGAAGAAGAAATTGAAAAAATTACGGTGGAGAAAGAGGATAACAGGAGGAGGACATCGTTAAAAGGAATGGCACGGAATAACTCGACGAAGCATCGTGATAGAAGAAACAATGTAATAAAAGACGAAGAGAAAAACGAAGACCGAAGAAAAAATGAAGCGAGAAGAAAAGAGCGATTTATCGAAAGATGATCAAGAAAGAATAGAAGAAAAAGCCATGTAAAAAAGATAAACGGAGGACTAAGATAAAGGAAGTATTGAAGATGAAAACTGCGGTAGAGAAAGAAATTATGAGAACTTTGTCCAGGAAGAATCGAAGATGGCAGAAAGAATAACGACGGAAGAAAAAGGATCGAGAAAAGACGTTAAAAAAATAATCAAGAGGAATCTTTTAGGGAGACATCACGATAGAAAGGAAAATACAACGATTGAAGGACGAAGACCAAAAAAAAGAATGGAAGAAGAAGATAGAGAAGTCCAAGCGCAAAGACGATAAACGTGACGACGATCATAAGGAATCCAGATATAACAGCGATCACAAGAGTTCCAAGCGTAACAACGAGCACAGATATTTTAGGCGAGATGACGATCACAGAGATTGTAAGTACAACGAGGATCGTGAAGATTCTAGAGACAGCAGCGTCGAAGCGAATGGGAAACGGAAAGCCTCGCCGCGGGAGAAGATTGGCAACAGGTACTACGGAGAACCGGATAAACCGCGAGAGAATCCGGAGGACGCCAAGCAGAAGCAAACGGTGAATCTTCTGAATTCGAGAAATATAAAATTTTTATATAATTTTATACATAAAAAATTATATAAATATTTTATAATTTCTATTTTTTATACCAACATAAAAAATTATATAAATATTTTATACTTTCTATTTGTTGATCACGAGACATAAATACCATTAGTAAACTTAAATTAGAGCAGTTAATTAGAAAAATTTAACATTTTAATTGTTAAACCTTTATTTGTTTTCTATCTTTTATTTCCTTTATATTTTATTTAGATAGCATACGAAGTATTATAAGTAAACATATTAAAAATTTTTTTTATCGATTTTTAATAAAATAGTGAATATGCAAAATGTAAAAAAATAAATATTAACGAGATATTTAATGTGATTATTTTCACTGTTTTTTTTTGCCAAATATTAGGATTAGATATTTTAAAATTACTGGATACTTTCTTCCACACAAAGCAATTTTCTTTTTAAAGCAGTTTGTTTCTCCTAAATCAAGATATTTTGAAACAGAAGTAGGACAAATTGCGATAAATTTAATATTTTATTATCTCTTTTGTCATGAAACATACTATATAAGTATAATATATAAGTATAATAAAATTATATAATAAAATAAACATTCAAGGAATACGTATTTCAAAGAACACGTATAATACACATGAAATTAATTGTTATGTTTTAATATTGTTACTTTTTTTTTGCTGCTTCTTCACGTATTATTTTGGCTACTACAGACAGTCCCTGAAAAAATAATAAAAAATATCAATATTTTAAATTTAAACATTTTAAACGCACATCCAACTAATATTTTTTTGTATTATTAAAATAAGAACAAAAGAAACGTCAGTTGTAGAAATATTTAAATTTTTAATTTTGCCTATTAATATTTTTTTTTGCAGTTTGCAAGAATTATACATGTAAAAATATATAATTGTTTTATATAGATCTTCTGAGTAAAATTATTAAATTTATGCGGCATTTTTTAAAGATATGTACGTTATGTTGTATTTGATAAGTAATTAAAATTAATTTTCAAATTTACTTTGTCCATTTCTTCTAATGAAGAATAACTGTAGCTAAGCCTCAAATGACAATCATGTTTTGA